TACTCAGTCGACTATGACAACTATCATATAGTTTCCGGCACCGCAATGCACGGAATGATTTGTCTCTGGGATATTCGCCACGCCAATAATTTCTCCATCTCTCCAAATCCAGGTTCTCTCAAGTGCAAACGAGTGGCTGATGGCTGGACCGCCTATCTCGGACGCAACCAGAGCTCCTCACCTATCTATTCTCTCCAACTTGATCATTCTAAAATATATGTCGCTTTGGCGAATCAAACTTGGATAATGGACTTTGGTGGGAAGACTTCCGAGAGTAAACGTATCGAAAAGATAAAACATATTGCAAGACGTACGAATAGGAGAAGTTGGCGTAATAGAGGTGTAATGGCAGGAACGAATGCGAGGGAGACGAAGGAATCAACTCTGTTTTATCTACACGATAATTGGTCTGAAATATATGAATTGTAGTGTTTTGGGTGCCACGAAGATTAAATTATTTTTTTCATCTACAAAATACAGAACATAAAAAGTTTCTATTCAGAATACGCAAAAATATTATCTCCTAATTCAATAAAGTCTAATGAGAATGTTTTCATACCGAATACACGCATGAAATGTTATGGCCATAAAATGAGCGTACGTTGCTTCACTCCATAAGGAATGCCTTCAACTAAGTACGTTGACTGGCAAAAAAAAGTGTTTCTCGTGTTAGCAACATCTGACTTAGCGCACTATCTGTATTCTACACTTTGATCCGAATTTTACACTTGCGCTAAAATATTGTATTTACTGTACTTATAGGTGAAGTTTTACTAATGACAAACTCACACTCCTTACAATCAATGAAGGAAACACGCGTCTACTATATGTGTATATACAGTATACCCACCACGCAACTTGGCCCACATTACAACGACTCTCCTCCCAAAACGCGATATCGCACAAAATTAAATCAAAGCTAATAAGTCTTTGCCGCCTTTCCCACTACCAGGCAACAAGAAGCCCCTCTTACGAAAAAGCCCTACGACCGTCGAACCGCGTCTCAACGAAACACGACGCATAGACGACAGAACATGAGCAAGTTCGCACTCTTTGCCTCTTCTCACCCAAATGCGGTACACAACTTCTCAACGCGTACCGCGCTGACAGATAAATAATAAGGGTGAGAAGACAATGTTACAAAAAAGTCTGGGACGGAAGTTATTAATCTAAGCACATCTATTATTTTATTTGCGTATTTTAAATAACCCGACTAATTATTATGATGTTTTATTATACTATTGGCAGTTACTGTATATCTAAATTACTTAGGGATAGGGTTTATTCCTAGAAACCGTGCATGCGTGTGTAACAAAAAAAAATGATAAGTGTAAAACAGCTCATTTGAAACGTCGAGTCTTTTAGATTTATTTAACGATAAGTTAATATAGTATTCTTTCACCATTTCTTTCAATAAAAAGTTTGCAGCGCGTTTTTATAGAGTTAGCTAAATTAACTAAAATTGTATCAGGAATTTCTCTGCCATTTCTCCTTCATAAATTGTTCTAGTTGCCACAATTTTTGATAATCCCTTTTCTACACTTATAATTATTTTAATATTTCTTTCTATTTAAGCGTTAAGAATTAAAGGCGGCGAGATTCGTTGAAAAATTGGATGGAGAACTTAATGACAGCAAGGAGATTGATGAGCATTGAGGATGTTAGTCTAAATATATTATTTATTGCCAGTATAGGTTGGTCTTGGACAAGTAATATCTTTGAATCCATCTCTAACGAATGGGCGAATATTGTGATAAAGATATTCATGTCTTCTATAATCCAAAGGAGGAGGGGTTAGTACTAGGATGGAAAAAGATTCAATTTCTTTGATACAGTCAACTCTGTCTATACCGGCCTTTTTTATACCGGTTTCGCCTTATATCGCTGCACCAAAAGATTATACATTAATCTTACTCCTTATTATTATAGCGGCTGAATCATATACCGGTCTCTCGTTATAACGGCCCAAAAACCGCCAAACCACTCACGCCGGTATAGACAGAAATTTCAGAAACACATGCTTTTCTGGTTTTAATAAATTAAATTCAGTAAAAGCACCATTAGCAACCATCTGAGCTTTGACAATTCCAGGATTAGTTACTTCAAAAACAAAATGCTGATATTGAAAGCCTTTTCCATTTTTATAACACTGAGCTTTATTTAATCCAGATGTGCTTGATTTTTTCACAACCTCAACAATATGATTCACGCAATCTACAGTCGCTTTGCGGCATAGTTTCTTAATCAGTCCAAAACTACCATCACACTAAATATAGAGAAAATCAAATGGTAGCGCTAATTAGGGTCAACATCCCAATTTGGGAATAGTAATTATGGAGTCCCTAATAATTTGTCCTCATGTACATCTAATTCTCCAGATAACAAGAAATGGTCAAACGGAAAGAAAAAGCAGTAATACTCCAACGGCAAAACGAATTAAGGCAAACAAGAAGATGAAGCGACAAAATCTGCTAAAATTAATTAGATGGAAGAATCTGATGAAACGATCTGTCTCAGATGTTAATGGAGAACCAACGGCAATTTCGACGCTCAAGCGTACGAAAGTCATGAGGCTCTTTAGTGGACAATGGAAACATTGGAGCCCAATTTGGCTTTTTTTGTCCGCATACAGTCAAACCTCGTTATACCGATACCCGTTATACCGATAACCCTCATATAACGATGGAAAACGCCGCCCCCAAAATTTAGATAGAAAATTTCCATTAGAGAGAATGGATCAAGAGCGTATTAAGTGCTTCGCGAATATGATCGTGACATTTTCAATTGCGACGAAACTGGTTTGCATCTGAGTTTTCGTATTAGTATCTCTATATTTTTATTCCTTCATCTAACGTGTTCATTATGTGTATTATAGCGTTATACTGGCAGTTAGAACCGTCGAGGACGTTGGCATTAAATACTGTCATCGGCACCAAGAAATCGAAAAATCGTATAACGATTCTTCTTTGTTGCAATGCGTGTCGGGTACTGAGAAACTTAAACCTTTGCTCATACATCGTTATGAGACTCCGCGATCCCTTAAAAAATCGATAAAAACAAGTTACCTGTTGAATAATATTGGAACAAGACGGCCTGGATGCAAGTCTCCATATGGTAAGACTCTTAAAAAACTAAATCTTCAAATGCAGCGTCAACAACGTCATATTCTTCTACTCATAGATAATGCACCGACTCACACGTTCCTGGAGCCTAGTCAATTGACTAGTATTACTATTCACTCTCTCCCCCCCAACACAACGTCTCATTTACAACCATGCGATGCCGGCATCATTAAATCCTTTAAGACAAGTACGAAAGCCAATTGATTTGTCACTTGAATTAAACTAAAAATTTTACCCTGTGTAGGCACACATATCGCTGATTCATATGATCTTTCTCGTGAACTCAACTCAAATATTATTCCTGTTAATATTCTTGATGCTATAACTTACTGCGCCGAGGCGTGGAGTGCTGTTACGGAAACTACCATTAAGAATTGTTGGAGGAAAACCGGCATCTTACCACCTGATAACGAGACGTCGACTGTTGATGAGTTGAACGTCGACGACGACGACGACGACGACGACGTTATAGAGTTAGAAATGAATAATCTACAATCTTCTATTGATAGTCTAGGCCGGAAAAACTCGATATCAGCGGAGCAATATATGAACATTGACGAAGAAATAGAAGGGAGAAATATAAATGACGATGAGATAGTATCTATGGTAAATCGTTCTCTTAGACGCGTCGCTTGTACGTCGTTGTTGCTGTACGGAAGCATTATTGCCGACAGGAAGCTTACGGAAGTTGGATTAATATTTAACTGAAGTTAGCGGATGCTGGAGTATCAGACCAGACAGGAGAGAATAGTTCGATTATCGGTGCAATAAAATTTTTTAATTAAATAGTCAGCACAATATTTGAGTGAGAGTTTATAATTTAGCAATAAAAAGCATAGAGAGCCGCCTGCAAATTTTAGCTACGTCTTAATTGACGCGGGCGTGTAAGTTAGAGCTAAAATTTAAGAATATCCCCCAGTCAAATTTGAACACAAACGCTCTCCCAGGTGACCGAACATAACAGTATATATCCAATAGGTATGACTTTAACCGAATCGCATAAGATACTAATGAAAGTTCTTAAGTACGCGATCCGTTACTTTTAATCCGATGATCGTCGATCAATTGTCGAAGGAAAGTGGTTTTTTCAGAGTCGTTAACAGCTAACCAAAAGAATTACATGTGACGCAGCACACATCTTTGCCATTGAAAACTTTGGCGACTAGATGCTACTAACGATATACACTCCCTCGACTAAAATATCCGATGGGAGTTTTTTCAAGTTTATGCAACATCCAGTATAACTATTATACAAAATTTTTATATCATGTTGTAGCTTAGCTTTTCACAAATCTGCATGAGAATGTTGAGGTGTTTAGATTTCTTGAACGGTGAATTATTAAACAAAAGGCAATTGCGATTAAAATCAATCTCGCTCACAAAATTTATATAAAAGAAGAAATTAACGTAAATTTTTAAACATCCACCTAAATAAATAAAATTGGTTTATTATTATAAACCAAATACAAACATGTGTTTTATTCAACTTTTTATTGCTCTTTTTTGTATGTAAATAATTAAATAAAAAAAGCAAAGATTTTCGTGTTGTTTTGTTTTGTTTTTATCGCGTTGTTTCCAAATTTATTTTTGAGCACTTTTATTATCTTTTACAATTCCGAATTGACAGAAGCGGATCGAGGAAAAAATTAGATCTTAGAATAGGTGGAAGTAGCGTTTCGAAAATATCTAAGACATTTAAAATTCCGTCATCCACTGTACAGGATACCATTGTTCGCTATATGAACTCTGATAATTTAAAAAGTGCTCGAAGAAAATGCCACGGAATTAGAGATTGATTACTAATTCCTCATCAAACATATTCCAATTTGATTAAGAGCATGCCAAGAAGGCTTGAGGCATGTATTTCGAATAATGGATGGCCAACTCAGTACTAAAGTAAAGACTAAATGTTTAGAGCCAAAAATCGGCGAAGTTGATTGATAATTCATTGTCTAAGAAAGCTAAACACTTCAAAATTCACATGCAAATTCGCGAAAAGCTAAACTACAAAATAATATAAAACCGTTGTATAATTATTATACTGGATTTTTCATAAACTCCCATCGAATACTTTAGTCCAGGGAGTATATATCAGTGCTCGGCTAAGGAATTAATCCTCTACTCGACAAACAACGACGAAATCAGAATACCAATAGCTTTACCTTTTATTACGAAAGAGAAATTTGATGACTTATCGAGGAATATCTGAGAGCTGATGTAAATGGACATCGCACAAAGTTATTGATAACCCGCAGATATGGCATTCCATGTGTTAGAAACCCAAATACTACCAGCTATGACAAGTGAAGTTCCGACATTATGTACGTAAATATTTCACAACAATATCTGTTGGCAGTTGTAAAACGCTCATCGATTTAGAGAGCAGGGAAGTTGTTCGCATGAAAAAGGATCTATATGATGTGATCGGACGTTTTCATAGAGAAATCTAGCATGCAGGGTATATGAAAACATATGCAAAAGTTAGTTTTTTGTCAACATCTAATTCTTTTTTTTTGTTGGTGTAAAATAGAAAGCAAATAATGGTTCGACGCTAAATTTATTAAATAATGATAGATATCGGAAAGCTATAGTCACGTTCCACGAGAACTTGTTAAATTGTTTGTGAAAGCGCGCAAATCGACGTAGGATGCTACCTCCAGATCAATAATTGCTAAAAGTTTCATGACTCGCGTTCAAGTATGACATTGAATTATAAAGTCGTATATTTCAAATGTTATTCATAAGTACAATGTACTGACGTCAATGACATATATAATCAAGGTTGACTTAATCGATTTGAGGACAAACCCTGACGGCGAATACAAATACATAGTTCATGCCAGGGATCACTTTAGTCGATATTCGTGGGCCAGTCTCATGAAAAGTAAAGAAGTTGTAAACGTTGCGGGATTTCTTTTCACGTCTTCTCTCAGTTTGGGTCTCCAGCAATTTTGCAATCGGAGAATGGGAAAGAATCTACTACTACTGCAAGTATTATACGCGAATGGATGGCAATGTGGCCAGAAACTGTTATCATCAATGGTCGCCCATGCCACCCTCAGTCTCAAGGCTTAGTAGAAAAAGGAAATGATATCCTAAAAACAAAACTTTCAATCTGGATTGAAGATAACAAAAGGAATGATTGGAGTTTAGGATTGTCATTAGTTATTTGTAAGTATTCGATTCGATACTTTCTCTTTCTAGTTTGACAGATCATCTGACAAGAAGTTTTTCAGTTCACATGAAACAAGTCTCCAAGGAACTCCAACCTGATTCATCACAGCCAATTACTCACACTTGTATTGCTAAAATAATGAAACATTATACAGATGTCATTATCTCAGCAAAAGAAAACATTTGTTCAAGACTTATCTTACCCTCTTCATGTTCTGCTGTGTTGATAAAGTTTACCAACTGCTAGAGAAGCCAAAAATCTATGGTCAGCTCATGCAGGTATACCAGATGATGAAGAAGAGATACATTTCCAAAAGAAGCACTTTAACAGAAGCAGGGTCTTTTCCAGCATCTTCATTCATCTGTTTGTGCCATGCTCTCTCAGACCATCAGGAGTTATGAGATACCACATTAAAGGTCTCTAATCTTGCACCACCAGCAGAACTAGACTGTTCAGAATGTGTTGTAGGTGGTGGAAGGAAGTCATTACAGTATATCTGCTAGCATGCATGGATATGGAGTTACTGACTGTACTTTGGATAATATTATGCTGAGTTTATGGATTGCAAGTCCAGGAAAAAGTGTTTAATAGAATAACTTAATTGGTTATATTTTTACCAGCAAAAGTAATTTATAATTTATAAATATGTTTATCAGAACTTTCTGGCAGGTTTGGAAGAAAGTACAGTTGTACCCCCCTATAGTCATGCCATCGGTTCTGCTAAAATCACTACATGGAAGGAATCCCTCATGCTCATAGTCACGTAGATAAAAATCGTTAATTAAGTAATATAAATAATTGTATCATTATCATAGCCTTACTATTACGTTTACGTGTAATATTATTGATACAAGTTTATTCCAAAATTACTGGCGAAATAACCACTTCATTTATCGCAAGTAATAGACCGAAACGTTCTTCCTATACTAAAGACTACATCTCAATCGCGAAGAGAGTTAAACACCTATCAAAACATCCCTGTGATCACTCAGAGAAAAATGACTTATCTTTTTTATTTATTATTTTACTGATAGTCGCTCGGTCAATGTATTTAGAGTTAAAGTAAGTTGCGATTTCATTTTGTTTAAAAGTCTTATTATCAAATCGTCACTGATAGACGTTCTTGTTATTTTCTGTGGCATTTTTTTATCAAGTGAAGAAACTAACAACTATTAAATACTTTGTTCACGTGATGTGACTAAAATTTATGGGTGTGATAGTGACTATAGTCAAAATGTGCCTAAATAGGGGCTTATAAAGGGGTACGACTGAGACGATAAGGTAATATATGCAAGTTTAATAATCTCAACAGCCTAAATTCTCTATAACTTTACTATTTGATAAATAATTACTTTGCCCCAAATTTCGACTGAGACCAGCCAAGAGCAGAATTGTAACTGAAGATGATTACAATAGTTTAAAAGCGATACAGTGACGCGAAGATATGAAAGAAGCAATGGAGTTGCTTGCTATGGATTGGTAGTTTATCGTGAGTGAAGGCCGACCTGACAAACTCTTAAAACAATTGCGCAGAAATGAGAAAGAATTGCTTCTGTTTGAAAATAATGATCATTTCCCCGCTGTAGAAGTAAATAAATGGCTTGAAACAGTTCGCAACTGGATAAAGCGATTGGCTGGTGAGAACGTTTCCTATTCCAATGAGTCAACAAAAAAAAACAGTAGAGCCGAAAAAGAGTACACAACAAAAGAGGAAAAACGAAAATGCTGCTTGAGCATATTCAGGCATAAAAAAACTGAGATCTGGGAAGGTAATTGTACACACTTGACTAACAATCTGTAAGCATTTATTAATATAGCTGGTTAGAAAATTTTGCCAGTTTATGAAAGCTGGGAGACAATAAACTCTCAGTGGGAATCATGGTTTGGGAGATGTCAAATGATGCCTGGTAAACTTGCTGAAGATATGGTTGAAGAAAAGCTGAGACAGAGTCTGAAGGCCTTCGTAAAAGTAGTGACTACCCACAAGATATTCTCGACTTGTGGGAGGAAAAGTTTAGATGGTGGTTATCAGAATTAGTTGATTCAACTATTGAGGTAAATTAGTTTTGTTACAGTTTTTAATAATGCTCAGAGCTGACACAAGAATACTACCAGTGCACATAATGTTGCAGTGATTTACAGAGACAAGATGAAAATAACTTTGGATTCATATATTAAAACTCAAAAAGTAAGTTTTAAAAAAGGTGATACATGCAGATAGGAGCAAAATGGGTTGAAAATGTTTACCATGTAAAATATTAAATTGCTTGAATAATGAGTTCTATGAGTTAGGCTGTGCAATAGGACATCTTAAAATTAATTACAGAGTGACAGTCTTGTATTCAGTTGTCAAAGGTGCTTATTTTCCAGAACTGGATAATATACCCCAAAAAGGTCACTCTTCAAAAGGCTGCATTATCACAGAGTAAGAGTATATCACAATTTGTTGGTGTTAGATGTCAATAATGTACAAAGCTATGTTTATGTTGAGATCCTTCAATGCAATCATTATATCATTTAAGGTTAAGTATAAGGTAGACTTCTCCTCTTACTCTTAATGCTACTGCATCTTCTGGTTCAATGGCCAAAGCTTTATTGAGATCACTTAATATTAATGCATTATTATATTAAGGTAGACTTCCCCTCTTGTTTATGTTCTTAATGCAATTGCATCTTCTGGTTCAATGTCCAAAGCTTATTGAGATTTTTTAATGCATCATTATATTGTTTGAGATCATTTAATGCATCATTATATTGTTTAAGGTTAAGGTAAACTTCCCCTCTTGTTCTTAATGCTATTACATTTTCTGGTTCAATGTCCAAAGCTTTATTGAAATCCTTTAATGCATTATTATACTGTTTAAGGTTAAGATAGACTTTCCCTCTTGTTCTTAATGCTATTGCATCTTCTGGTTCAATGTCCAAAGCTTTATTGAGATTGTTTAATGCATTATTATACTGTTTAAGGTTAAGGTAGACTTCTACTCTTGTTTTTAATGCTACTGCATCTTCTGGTTCAATATCCAAAGCTTTATTGAGATCACTTAATGCATTATTATACTGTTTAAGGTTAAGGTAGACTTCCCCTCTTGTTCTTAATGCTATTGCATCTTCTGGTTCAATGCCCAAAGCTCTGTTGAGATCATTTAATGCATTATCATACTGCTTAAGGTTGAGATAGACTCCTCCTATTCACATAAACATGTAGGGAATGGTACTCATGGCATTTCCCCCGAACTTGCAAAAATAATCGGCGATAGCGTATAGTACGCTCAACTATAAAAATTGGTGCGGCATAAACTATCCGTTTGAGTGTCACTTTTGCCCCTTCATTATCAGTTCTAACCAATTTGCTATATGTGTACATCCAATGGTGGTGTAAAGACGTCATCGTATCGCTTGTACGTTTACTAATGGAGAATGCTCTATTTATTGTTACTGTACGCATATTATGTCATGGTTTCAATAATTACATCCCACTATTGCTTAGTTGTAAATTATTGAACACGACATCGCGCATCGCTAAAAATAATACTTAGCGAAAAACCGTTAAATTTAATGAACTACTTACTGCATTCTAGGAAGAGACATAATCTATGTTAGTTAGGTTTAAGATTTTACGTCCAGTGGTTATAGAAAGCGAATGAGTGACTTGGGATCAATTTTCACACTGGGTACAAGGTCAACCCCGATAAACCGAAGATGTTGGATTAGCGGGTTACTCTATAAACTGAAGTGTATATTCAGGGAAACTATACGTTTGGATAAACGGGGTAAGTGCTCAAGCTGCCAGATAATATACATTGTAAACACTACTCTTTATTCGCTTATAACATAAGCTTACTACACTAACAGCTTGTGAAATAACTACTTATGAATCCTATTGTTCTTAATGCTATTGCATCTGGTTCAATACCTAAGGATTTATTGAGATAGTTTAATGCACTAGTATGCTGTTTAATATGAAGGTTGAGATAGACTTCTTCCCTTGTTCTTAATGCATCTTCTGTTTCAATGTCCAAAGCTTTATTGAGATTGTTCAATGCATTATTATACACTCTCTTTCCCCTTTTACTCTTAGACCAATTTATTCTGCAGTAAAAACAAATAGCCTCCACTAAAGAGAGTCTCTATAGGTATCATTAAATAATAAGACATGTTAAATAAAAATAAGCAGAAGGCACCTGCCAATGCTCCTCAACTGACCAACAAAGGTCCTAGCTCCAAAAAACCATCCCCCTTTTCATTTGCAAATACTGAATGTAAACTTTCATACGATGCCCAAGTCTCAAACAGGGAAGTCCCCAAGACTGACCTAATCAACTCATTGTTTTTTGACCTCCGCAACCTTCAAGTCACTGAAGAACAGCTTTTTGAAGCTATTCAGGATGACATCATGGGCATAGCCTACAGACAGGAATCTGGCTTCCTTGAAGTCACTTTTAGTGAACAAGAGGATGTCAAAAAATACCTTACAGAAGGCCTAACAATTGATGACAAACCCATCATTCCCTTACCCCCCAGAGACTTAAAACCAAGGATCCTCAGGGTCAAACTAGCCAACGTGCCTATGCACTTAAGCAAAGCACGCCTCGAACAAGATATCAAAAGCTACTGGGGACAGTATGCTTGTGTTAAAGCTATTGCACCATACACCTATAAAGGAACAGCCATACTCACTAGACGATGGGATCTAATTGTCTACCTCAAACCAGAAGCCAACGCACTTGAAGCCCCAGTGGTATGGGAATATCAGGGAAGCAAAGTCCTTGCAACCTGGAGAGGAGCACCTGCTTCCTGTCTCTCATGTAAATCAGCTGGACACTACTCCAGTGTATGCCCTACTTTTCCTCCAAAAAGGAAGACGACTGAGACTCTGAAAAAAACGATCAGCAAGCATGTAACCAGCACCCCTGAAACCAACACTCATAATGACGAAACGCTAAACAAAGTTCCACTTGCCTCATCTAGCAAAGCACCAATCGCCTCAACCAGCAAGGCAACCACCACACCTGGTGCAACAAACATCCCCCCTGTAGCACCACAACAGTTCCACACTCCCCCTGCCCAACTGATGTCATATGCATCTGTAACTGCAGCAGGGTCCCCCATTCCACAAGCTCAATGACAAACCCATCCAGGAATACAGGCTCATTTTGATTCACTTGCATCAACAGCATCAAGAGACCTCTTCACAGGAAATTCTCTTGACCAGGAAATGAGAGACCAATACTATGAACAAGAGTATAATCTGAATCAAAACCTGACATCTGCCTCTGAATCACCTTTTGCAGGGGATGACGAACAAATGGCAAACCAATACCTCCCCCCAGATAACGATGAGGAAATGACCTTATAACCCTCCTCCAGACCAAAAAAGGAAATCACTTTAACACACTCTTTAATGAATATCATAACTATTAATGCATGTGGACTATCAAAGTTCCAAAAATTCAGACGTCTCATCCATAAACTCTCACAATTCTGACATCATCCTAATACAAGAACCCATCCACCTTACTCGAAATAACCAAGATCCTTCTATTCTGACAGCAATGAGCCATAAATGGAAAACCATTTGGCAGGGAGATATTTACATCACTCCATACACAGCAACTCTCATACACCACACCATCTCATCATCATTCATCCAAATACTTGAAAACGGTAGAATCCTAGACACCCACATCAACAATTGTCATGGACGCTCATTTACACTAAGGAACATCTATGCCCCTGCCAACCTAACAAAAAACTGACAATTCTGGCATGATTTCCCTCCTTTACCATCCCAGCCAGCAATCATGGCAGGAGACCTCAACACCATTCTCTACCAACATGACCATATCTCCTCAACCACCCACCAAATCAAACCCCTCCTAAATCTCGTTCTCCCTCACTTCAACAACCTCATAGACACAGCAACTACATCCAATAACAATCCCCAATTCACATGTTATTGTGACACACAAACATATTGGTCCCGATCTCGGATTGACTATATTTGGGCCCACCCCTCCCTGATCACATCAACTCACCTAACAATAACAAAACACATGGGAAGTGACTCAGATCACAGAGCACTAATCCTCCAGGCCCAAACAAAACATAAATCAAACATCTGGCGAATGAACACAGCCATGCTTACCAACCCAGCAACATCCAACAAACTTGAACAAAATATACAAACAGCCCTACCCACCCTCTCAACCCAAACTTGGGATGATCTTAAATCCCAAATCCGGATAACATGTAGAGAAATGGGAAAAGTACAAGCTAAGAAATGCAGAGATGGCATCATCAATCTTACTAACCACATCAAAAAACTACAATCCCTTTCCTCCCCCAACACACATATCATAGCCAATCTCACCAGGAAGCTCAAGACCCTAGAAGAAACAGCCTCCAAGGCATATGCTATCCGTTCAAGGGTTCGCTGGTATGAAGAGGGAGAGACTAGCTCTAAATACTTCTACCAACATTTCAAATATAAACAACAGAAGTCATCCATATCATCACTCCAAATTCCTACAACCATTCCTCCCCGAATTCCCAGTATGCCCATAACTCCAAATACTCCCATAGCAATATCACCAGCATGCAAACGCTTATCACCCCCATCATAGCATCCCAGACATTTGTCTGATTGGTCAATTCAATTTTTAATATGATTGGATGATCAATTTATCGAGACTCAATAT